TGATTCAGGATTCTCCAGGTGTTCTAAAGTATGCATGGTCTACACAGCCACGATCCCTGTTCCTCCAGAAAAGAGCCCACTAGAATATCCACATGGACTTTTGCAATCTCTTCTTTTTTTTTTGCCCTCTAGGTATGTTTTCTATGAAATGCATATCTGAGGGCTTGGTTGAGCTGTCAGTGTTATACACCTCATTTCTCAGAAAGATTTCAGAAATACTAAATTTGTAATATCTCTGGGTTTAGACCAGCATCCATTCTTTGCTGCATAACCTGATTACTTTAGGGAAGAATCTTTCAAGTTTCAGCTGGCTTTTATTGGCTATGACTTGTATTTTCAACCATTAGAAAATATCTGAACAACCTGTTTATTAGGTTTTTTGTCCTTCAGCAGGGGTGGTGTAATAGCAGCATTGGCTGCTGCTAGCTTTCTTCCAACAAAGTAACATTTTTGTGGTTCTTAATCAAAAAAACCTTATTCTCTCCAAACTAGAGATAGAACTGAATGATCCTGGGACAAATGCCTGGATCCAAATGGAATTTTTTCCTTTTGAGTATGAGCTCAAGCTATGATTAATCACCTTTTCTTTCAGTGGAATATACTAGCTTCTGTAAGTGAGCTTTTTCACCTCACAGAGGGAAATGAAAAAGCAGGGTATTTTATTATGCCTTGGATCACTGATGAGGAAAGGCTCATTTGTACAATTCACTGAGCAAGTCTTTTGGTCTATTTCTTGTTACAGACAAATTATATGGTTATATGTTAAGTTACAACACAAAATATTCAGATGTTACATAAAACCAATACAACGCTTTCTGAAAAGAAATATACATTTTAATGTCTTTATTTCTCTTGTGACCAAAATAAAAAGATCCATGTACTATAAAACAGAGAGAAGCCATTCAAGGGTTGTTACTTATTGTTCTATTGCTGTTACCGCAGGGAAAATAGTAGTAATTTTAAAAAATCATTTCTGCATGATCTGCTTTTGTGTGAACTGATAAGAAAATATGTTCTTTCTGCACATGCAACACATAAGGAATGTTTATTGCCCATATGGTCTCTTGAGGACTCTGACATTAGAATTTCTATGGTAGCAAGTTGAGAGCAAAAAAAGCAATTATCTGAATGCTGTGAATGCCGTAAAACTGTGGTGTTTTCATCCTGCCTGTGCATAAAATGAGCATAAGAAGGACAGGAAAAGCATTTAGCAATGTGCCACCTGTATGGGAATCCTGGATATTATACACCATGGTTGAGCTCTGCTGATTTACATCCTCTGCAGGGTTGCCTCACTGCTTTGTACAAAAATCTGCCATGACACAGAGCCCAGAAACGTGCGCCAAAGGCTACTGCTGAAGGTGCTTCATCACAGCACGATGAAAGGATGTGATGGACTAACATTGTTCCATTAGAATGAGAAATTAGGTCTTTGATGCTGCAGCAGTTCGTTTCATTCCACATCTGAGTCATCCCAGCATGCCAGGACGCAGTGGGAATTCTGCTTATGGACCCCTCTGCCAGTGTTCCTGATCCAGCACTCGGTGCTGCCTGCACTGGGCTGGCTCCCCAGCTTTCCTGCAGTAAACATTTCCCCAATATCAAAATGTATTGGTAGGCCTGCCACTGCCAGTGTGACTTCAGCTACGCGTGTTCCCTGGAAAATCACCTTGAATAGAAGATGCCCATTTGCTTTTGACTGTTCTGTAAAACTATTCTTTCATCTTTCCTCAGGTTTAACACATTGTTTCAATTGTTTGTGTAGAATAGTAAGAGCTGTGTGAATGAGCAGCCTCCATGCCAGTGGATCACAGACTGCCTAGCATGGGTTCTGCTCTGTTCAGGTTTTAGCTCACCTGCATTGTGGGTTTGTATGTACAGGCACACACACATTTTCCTTTTTTTATTCTCATAATAACAATCTGTCCTCAGTATCTCCATCAGTCAGGAAAATAAAACACTGAGAAGACAAATGAGGAGCAGAAGGGTTTTGTGATCAGATGAGCATTGAGAAAGCAAAGCCTAATTTCCTTTGAGAAGAGCCATAACCCTGTGTTTAATTCCTGACTGCAAAGTTTTTAGGGATGGTGTTCACAGCTGGGTTGGGTATGAGCAGTGTGTCCTTTGGCTATTAAAGCTCAGAGCATTAAGCTCCCCTTAAGGATGGACTTCCAGACATAGGGTCTAATATTGGTAATTTTATCAAACGCAATTTGTTTACATTTTTAATCCATGTGCCCATATTCACTTATTCATGCCCACAGTCCCATGAACACTACCAAATTCTAATGCATGCAGGAAGAGAAAAAAATCTGGATGTTGTACATTCAAGGAGCTCGGTCTGAGATACATAAGGGAGTTTTTTTGAGCTGCAGGGTACCTACAACTATCAGTTGCTTCAATGGTCACTAAAGATTTCAGGTTTCATACATCAAAACGAACAACATTTTTTAAATATAGTTTTTTTTGTGCCTTAATGTTGTGTTGTTTGTAAGCAAATACTGCATTTTCACACTTGGTTTTTTCGATTTCATCCATCAATAAAAATTCTAATTTTGAGAATTAATTAAAGTCAAAAACTTCAATGTAAAGTCAAAAAATCCAATATCTTAACAAAAAATATCAATTAAAAAGCCACCAAAAATAAAATAAAAAAGGACTTGTTTCCAATAGCTGATATACAGCACAAAATATTTAATTGATTGATTTAGGCCATCAGGCACAAGAATGAGTATTCAAATTAACCAAATTAAAAATGAGTCATTTTAATACAAAACTTTCTGAGTACAAAATTCTCAACCTACCATATGATCTTGGAGAATACTGCTTAAATCAAACTTCATCCCCATTCTGTGACTGCTGCACAGATGCATGTTATTGCCCCTGGGTAGGAGCAAGGGCAACCTCAAATTTAGCATGTCAGGTCAAGGGTAACAGTTCCCCTTCTGAGCTTAGTCTCTAGCAATGGCTCAGCAGAGAACTCATAAAAAAAGAAAAAAAAGGTGATTAAAATATAAATAAACAACACCTTGAGAGACTGCCATGGGGTGGATGAGCATTCACTGCCCTCATTCCACGAATGGGAGAATCCAGGCAGAAGCACAGTATCTTGGGAATAGTAAGTTAAGTCTCCAGGCAGAGCTGTGTGCTCTATGCACCACACCACAGATCCCTCAAATGCAGCCCAGGAGCTCCTACCTGTGGCCTGGGAAGCTTCAAAACTCAGCTGACAACAAGCTTTAAATTAAGCCATCTTTAATTGAATGATCTCATTAATAAGCCAAAGCAGCTCCAGTCTCTGCTTCAGCAGAGCCTTGCCTGTGAATTGCTGAGCAGTCCCCAGCCTGAGGGGCAACCAAATAATTGCCCTGCCTGAAAGAGCAAAACAATGGTAGCTCTGGCATGGGAGGTGTATTGTAAATGCTCACAGGGGACTTCCAGAAGGTATTTTATGCTGTTTCACAGTGATGAGCAGACCTAGTCTGTAGTTCTTGTTCTACAACTCACTGCTAAATATGCACAGCATTTAATTTTCCTTTCATTTCTGAAACGTTTCATGGATGCCAAACTAATCAAGAAGTCCAATAGGAAATCAAGAGGCTATAGGATAAATCTCATTATCCAGAATATGCTTGGCTACTGCACTCCATTCTTTATATATTAAGCATTGTTTCAGTGTTAATTAACAGTGTCTAATAATCATTATAAACACTGAAACAACAGCCAGTGTTAACCACAGGAATAAAAGATTAGCTGGGATGAAGAGGGAGATGTCTTTACATCAGGTTTTTTATGCAATATGGAGTTGCATAACTGCATACTCATGTTTTGCATGGCTCTCAAACTTTTCAGGGGCAGTAACTTGATCACGTGCTTTCCAAAGTCCTTGCAAACGTTGTCTGTGAAAAAAGTGGTTTTAAGTGACCAAAAATAAAAGGGCAGAGAATTCTCAGCTGAGATCATTGGGTATTCTGGTTGCCTGCACATTTGGAGAGTTTTGAGTGACCTTAACAGCAGTTACATAAGCATAGGGAGAGAAAATAAACTTGTATTAAATGTGTAATACATATGGTCTCCTGACAGGATGCTCCAAGCCATGCAGTGATTTTATAGTCCTCGTGCACTGCACAGTGGTTCTTTGGTCTCAAAGTAGGAGTCAGAAATAGTATATCAGCATGAATTCCATTCTTTGTCTTTGAGGGGCAGTCAGTGAGTTAGTATTAAAATACACAATACACTTTGGCTAGCTGTGTTTAACAGCAAAAAAAAAAGCCATCTGCCTGGGACTAGATCTTACTAGCTGATAGCACCACATATGATATGGCTATATATGATGTGCATGTAACTATCTTCCTGAGGTGTGCCATGAGGAGCTTTAGGGTAAGGAAAGTGTCCTCAGCAGTTTTCCTTGGGCAAGGGAGCATCATTCTGAGTGCTTCACAGAGCCAAGTATGTCACCTGGGTTGCTTAGGGCCACACAGTGTAAAGACTACACCAGACTGCTTTCCAGCCTCAAAGCTAAATCTAATCGGTCTCTGCCCAGGATGAGATTGACAAGGGATGCAGAAGCACTAGTTGTACTGAACTTGGGTTTTCTTGTTATTAAACATCTTGTTATTAAACAAGTCCATCACCCGCATAAACTCCGAGTGCTATTATTCTGTCGTGCCTGGATCGCACAAAAGTCTCAGCGGCAGAGCCGAGTCCAGCAGACATCCCTCGAGGAGTCGGTCTAAGGAATCGGTTCCCAGTAGGCTCCACTGCGGTGCTGTGTGACACCCTGCGCCGGCTGTCCGGCCAAGCACCTGCCCGGCTGCTCTCTGGACGGAATCGAAATAAAACCTCCGGTCCAGCGGCACGGCGGAGACCCGCGGGCGCGGCGAGCGGCGGTGCCGCCCGTGCGGGCGCTGCCGGGGCCGCGGGCGGAGCGGGGCCGGGCGGAGCGGGGCGGGGGCAGCGCTGCCCCGGCCGGCCGCGCCCGGCGGTGCCCGGGCAGAGCCATGCGGGGCCCGCGGGCGGCCCTGGCGCTGCTGCTGGCGGCGGCGCTCGCCCCGCGCCCGGCGCGGCCGCACCCGCAGTGCCTGGACTTCAAGCCGCCGTTCCGGCCGCCGCGGGGCCTCGCCTTCTGCCGCCGCTACGGCGAGTTCGGCTGCTGCGACCCGCGCCGCGACAGCGCCCTGCTGCAGCGCTTCTACCGCCTCAGCGCCAGCCTCGACGAGCGCACCTACGCCGCCTGCGCCGGGCACCTGCAGGAGCTGCTGTGCCAGGTGAGACCTCCGGGAGACCCTCTGCACTGAGGGTACCCCGCCGCGCAGGGCTCGGCCACACGGGGCCGGTCAGCCCTGCACGGAGCTCTGGTGTGCACATGGATGCTTCTGCCCCATCCCGGGTGGGGATGCTTTGGCCCAGAGAGGGGTGCATTGATCCCATGGGTGCAATGGTCCAGGCGCAGGAACTTTGGACAGTCCAGGGGAGTGTGAGCCATGATGTGAATTCCCAAGCCCAGACTGGAGTACCCAGCCACAGGTACATCAGCCATGGCATTGGCCCCTGGGCAGAGGCATGGGTACATCAGCCCACACATCAGTGCATCAGGGATAGCACAGCAGCCTGGGCATGTGCTCCTAGGCACTGGAAGGAGTGACTGTCCATCATCAAGTATCCCAGTGGACTTTTTGTTCTTTGGCAGTTGTCTAAAAGAGGAACAGGGATGTTGCTCTTCTTTAGTTTAGGAGCAGAAGTCTCTGAGATAGGTAAGTGGGCATTTCAGTTTGCACACTCTCCTCCCCTCCCAGGGTTAGGATACCAGATCTGGTGAAGAAACCCACAGGGCACCTGTCTGTACAAAACTTGCTCTTTCTTATGACCAGCTGATGGGGTCAGGTGCTTTTTTTTTGTATTGGGTTGCAGCACTTTGAGCAGGTGCCAGGTGCTAATAGTCCTGGTGATGGGTGCAGAGCAATGCCTGTGGATGTGGCCTAGGAACCTCTGTGGTGGCCATCCTGCACAAGGGGGAATTTCCACTCAGAGCTGATGTTCTGGGGCCAGATATGATAATGGGATGATCACAGTCTGCACAGAGCAAAGTGTCTCACCCTATCATCAGTGGAGGCTCGCATGTATGAAAATGCCCCTAAGACAGAGCAGCTCAGCACTGTGCAAGTGTAAACCTTAAATTAATTCAGACAGTGGAGTCTTGTCTGCTGTGCTCAGATGGGATCAAAATGGCTTTTCAGAAATCCTGCTCTTGGCGTTTTGCCAGTACCTCTTGGGTTCCTTAAAGTGTGAAAAGAAAGACAACACTTTTCCACACCAGGATCTATAGAATTGGCTTCTATTTCATCTCACGTTGTACTGGAAGCAAAAAACATTTGAATATATTCCTACAACAAGTGTTGTCTCAGAGTCCATTTGCAGATAGGACACCAATTAGCAATGTGTGCTAAGCACTCTTGCTGCTGGAAGTGATAACTAAGTCTCTTGTGTTTGTCAGAAAGCCAACCATTGAAAATGTCTTCAGCAGCAGAGAAATATTTCCATGTGGGAGCAATGATTCACTGAAAATGTTCTGATGAGCTCAGTGCATCACCAGCCCAGATGTGGCTACACACCACTGCCTCTGACTGCACAAGCATGTCACAGAACTTCAGTCATTGCAAACACTCTAGAAACATTCTGCTTCTATTCATTCATTATATATACAATTTATATCCTAGACCTGAATTACCTGTGACTTAGCACACTTCTGTCTCTTTCTGCTCACAATTCATGATTTCTCTCAAATGTGATCAAATTATTTTGACAAGTGTCTCAGTTTGTACTTGTGGATCCCTGCCTTTTCCTGAATTCATAAAATAATAGAACAGTTTGATTTGGAAAAGACCTAGTCCAACCTCCCCTGCAATGAGCAGGGGCAGCTTCAACTAGATCAGGTTACTCAACCTGAATGTTTCCAGGGATAGGGCTTCTATCCCCTCTCTTGGCAACCTGTTATAGTATTTCCACCCTCATTGTAAACTTAAATTTACAATGTAAATTTACATTTGTAAAAATGTCTTAAATCTGATCTGTGTTGACCCTCCTCCAGTTTAAAGCCATTACCTCTCGTCCTATCACTACACCTCCCTGTAAATCATCCCTCTCCAGCTCTCGTGTGGAAGGTGCCATAAGGTTACCTTGGAGCCTTCTCTTCTCCACCAAACTGCAAGAGCAGGTGCCTCACTCTGCTTCTCAGGGAACAGCTTGCTTAAAGGCTTGAGTTTCCAGATGAGGTGGTCAAGGAATGTCAGGGATAATGTGGAGGTTAAATGCTTTTCTGAGGAGTCCTGTTGCTTCCTCCAGGCTGATAGCAGCAGTAAATAAGACATTGCCTGATGTGGGTGTTCCATCAGACTGTTGGAATTCCCCAGATAAGGAGCTGCCACTGAATTCCTGGAAGAGACAGGATGCATTTGGTTAGCCTGTCTTAATGTGACTTGTTTTGTTTTCTGATGAGTTATTTTCATAGTACAAACTTGTTCCAGCCCTACTGAAGTAACTGATCATCTGCCCAGTAGTTTCCTCAGTCTCTGGACCTCATCATCGTTTAAAATTAATGAGCAGACAGCATCATTTGGAAATTACAATTTAGATCTAATATTGATTCTGGGCTCTGACTACGGGTAGAGCTTCTTGGCATTTTGAGTTATGTGAACATGACAGGATGATGAGAAGGCTGAAGGACCACAACATTTGCTTTCTAAGCAGAGAAATTCAGCAAAAGGCATGAGGCTCCATCTCTTCCAGAATAAAATTTGGAAAATATTTCACATGTCTTGAAAACACCCAAGGACATGCTTAGGTACTTTCAGGCTAGTGATAGATCTCTGAATTTCACTGCCAGTGTAATGCTGCTGTAATTAGCTGTATGCCACCAGGAATGTTGTAAGGAGGGAAGAAGTTGCCCCCAGCTTCTATTCAGACACAGCTGAGGCCGTGGTGAGCAGCCTGCAATGGCAGAGACAGGGAATCCTTGTCTCTGGGCTATTTTAAATTCTGATGCTGAAGCCAGGGCATTGCTTTGTAATGCATAAGATCACTGCTTGCTTTGAAAGAGGCTTTCACAGAATGAGGTACACCTGAGTACTCAAGAGAGCGGCTCCTCTCTCTGAATGGGAAACCTCCATAGGCAACAACAGATTGAGCTCCCACCCAGCCCTCCCATCAAATTCTCTTTCTAGCTCATTTCAATTTGTTTTCTAAGGCATTTTTTTTCAGTCATTACAAGTGAATTGACAAATGCTCTGTCTCTTTCTGTCCCCGGCACACCTCGTGTAACCAAGCCAAGTGTGTTACCCAATCTGCCTGTGTAATTTCGGTGTTTTGTTTCACAAGCAATCTTCTTTTTACCACAATAATTGCTGCTCATTTGGAAGCTTAATAACCTTCATTTTGCAATGAATGGCTTGACATTCCAGGAGGAAAGCTTATTATACACTAATGATCTGTTATATGGCCTCTCAGTTTATTATGGTATGTAATGGAAAATAAAATAAAAATTAAATATTGTGTATGCTCATCAGCTAATTTAAACAGTTCGAAATCTCAGATGCTACATCTTTTCAGCTATTGAATAGAGTTGTGATCTGCATTAATAAATGTCTCCCTATAGATCTAGAAACAGCTCCCTATTTTTTTTTAATTAAGCTGGTTTTGCTTAGTAAAAGAAGAAGCAATGCCAGATAGGAATTAAAGAATACAGAATTTATTTACATAGTGGTTTCTCTTCTGACCTTTGTTGCCTCAGGTATTTACTGAAATATAACTTTGAAAATAATTGAGCCTCCACAGAGTCATGTTGCATTATTTGAAGAGCACTTTTGAGGTGCTTGTTGGGAAGATACATTATAACTGGAAAATATTGTGTTTATTACAAGCAAAAACCCTTGCAAAACAGAACTGAGTCACTTTGGTCAGTTTGTAATTTACAGACAGTTTTACTGAATTGCAGCTTTTTCATAAGGAAAATGTGTCTGTAGGAGTTCTCATCATGGAGATTTCAATGAGCTGTGTGAACTTGATCCAGTCCTTAAGCAGATTTCCAAGGCTGCACCTTCCATAAACAAGGGTTGAGCTGCAGCTGCTGCCAGGACCTTGCCTGGATTATGGCTATTTGTGCTCACTGTCTGAAATCCTGTAACCTCAGCATCCCTCACAGAACTTGGTGACCCATGTCATGATCACGAGATGCCTTTCCCCACTCCTGGCTGGGGATGTAAACTATCTGTAGGCAAAGGTCCACCAGCAAAGGCAGCTGGACCCAAGCAAGGATGGTGTCCTCCCCTCCTCCTCCACTTTCACATCCCACTCCTTCCAAGCTGTAAACCATATCCATGTTTGAGGTTCATGCCTGGATTATCAGATGATGAGGTATGAATGTCCCAGGCTTTGACCCTGATGGCCTTTCCCATTCTATCATCAGTGTGCAGGGCCTGAATCTTCTCAGCTAATTCTTTGGTTTCACTTCTGCTCTGTGATTATTCTTATTATTTCATAGATAGAGTCAGAGCATCCAAGGAAGAAAAGTCTCTTTTTCTCCAGTACGGTCTGCTAGGGTGATATAGCAACATAGGCGTCATTGCAGGGTTTTTTGAAGAGCTCTGTGGTTAGAATAAATGAGTAACAGCTTGAGGAAGTCAGCTTTCACCAGGAAAGCTGAAGATAATTTCCATGAGTGCTGAGACAAACCCCCTCTCTAAGATCTTTCCCTCTGTTAACATATCTTCCGAATAAACCACAACATATCTTGTAATTAAGATGAAATATCTCCAATTAGCATCACTGCTCAGCTGTTTCAGATCTGATCCAATAAATGATTTGAACCTTTTTCTCCCTCCCTCTAGGAGTGCTCTCCATATGCGGCTCACTTGTACGATGCTGAGGACCCCTCCACCCCCGTGCGGACGATCCCCGGGCTGTGCCAGGACTACTGCACGCAGCTGTGGCACAGCTGCCGCTCCATCTTCCGCGCCCTCTCCGCGGACCCGGAGCTAACGGCGCTGGAAAACAACGCGGCAAAGCTCTGCCGCTACCTGTCCCTGGAGGACACCGACTACTGCTTCCCCCACCTGCTGGCCAACCAGCACCTGAACCAGAACCTGGGGCTGGTGACGGCTGACGCCGAGGGCTGCCTGCAGCTGTGCCTGCTGGAGGTGGCCAACGGGCTGCGCAACCCCGTGGCCATGGTGCACGCCAACGACGGCACCCACCGCTTCTTCATCGCCGAGCAGGTCGGCCTGGTGTGGGCCTACCTTCCTGATGGATCCAGGCTCGAAAAGCCATTCCTGAACATCAGCGAGGCTGTGCTCACCTCGCCTTGGGAAGGAGATGAGAGAGGGTTTCTGTGTATTGTCTTCCATCCTAAATTCAAATTTAATGGTAAAGTGTACGTCTACTATTCAGTTGAAGTTCATTATGAAGAGAGGATCCGAATCAGTGAGTTCAGAATTTCTCCTACTGACATGAATGCCTTGGACCATGGTTCTGAAAGGTATCGTACACATATTTTTTTTAAGATCCTAGAAGGCCACTTGTACATTTTTAAAGATCATTAATGAATGAGACTTACTTAGCTTCATGTTTCTGCATTCCAAAGTTAGTCCAAGTCCATGTCTAGTGTATTGAGGTACAGAAGCTGTGTGTCCTCCATGGTTGAACTGCAAGTGTGCAGGGGTAAAACATGTACAGTTCTCAGTTCTGGCATGTCAGAGGCTTTAACTAAACATGGATTAAACATTATTTATAGTTAGTGTTTTGAGGTTATTGTTGGGTGGGGCTTTGAAGTTTGTTTGTTTTGTACTTTTGTGATTACCCTTTAAAACAGACTTCTGCAAAGAATGAGTGAAATTCTTTCCAAAGCCAAAGGTTTCCAAAATTAGTATAAACAAACTAAGTGATACCAGACCTAAGATGGATTTGGTCCCATGTTTCTTTATCTGAACAACAACTCAACCCTTTGATATTACAAATCTAATATCAAATTAAATAAAACACAAGTCACCATATTATTATGGAGTGCATTTAAATTGGAAATGTCATTTGTTTGAGTCTGGTCTTGCAGTTGTTCCACACTAATATGCACAGATGATGAGAGACTTGTTTGTAGAATCAGGCTCACAGATTTATAACCTGTTGCAGAACTATGTTCTACAACATATAGAACCACTGTTCTATATGTTAGCTATGTATAATATGCATATATGTAACTATATATGTATATAGTTATAGAACCACTCTTTTAAGAGATCCTTGGATATTACTAATTCAAAGATTTTTTCTTCATTATTTGGATTTTATTAGGGGCTTTCCAACACCCACCTGTGGATGATTCTAGCTCAAAAATGCACATAGCCTAATGATAGGAGGGGACACTGGTTTATAAAGCCGTTACAGCAATCCAGTGTAAACAGCCCTGTAGATGACAGGTAAGGGGAATTACAAGGTGGCACTCAGGAAAGCGAATCAGAAACCTGCAGGTATCAACAGCCCATGAACTGTCTTGTTTAAGAATCCTCAGGCTCTATGTTTGTAACAATTTCTGTGCTTACTTAGCTTATGGTTAGTACAGCAAAAGCTTAAGAAAACAAGCTTGTGGTCCTATTGTGCTTGTATAGGCTCAGGGCCCACTGACTTCACCCTGAGCTGCTGCCCAAGAGGGAGCTCAGGCTGACATGTGCTGTGCACTGCCTTGGCTCAAATGCATGTGTCTGTTTAACCTCAGATGTTTCTCAGTGAATTCTGGTTTTTTCCATCTTCTTTGGGAGGCTGAGGAAGATTCACCTTTGTGTCCATACAGGATCCTCCCTCACTCCTCCTGTCAGCTGGAACCTGTGCACTCTTGTACAGGTATCTTGTCACAGAGATGCTGACATTTAACAGGAGGTGACAGTAACTCCAGAGCTGGGTTCCTTCCCACAACTCACAATAACTATCAACATTTCAGAATCGAAAAAAGCTGTCTAAAAATGAGATGCTTTAAAAAAAATGTTATAATTTGCTTTTGTAGCTATTAAGATGCACTGCCAGATGAAATCTGGACTCTTTTAGAAGCTGGAAATAATAGACTTCAGTTGTTATACTTGGGAACCTCCACTGCATGTATTTGTGGCTTTACCATTCTATAAAATTATGATTTATGTATTTTTCCCCTTTCATGCTATGGAAGGGATTCCAGAAGCATAAAATAAACAAATAAAATAAAGGCTGTGGGGTTAAAATTAAGGTAAATTTTGTTGGTACTTCTTTAAATAGCCTTTGGTAAATTCAGTTTGTTGTTGAGGCTGCTTTTAACTGCTCTTTAAACTCAAAAGGTCCTGAGTGTGTAATTATCATTCAAGGATTCTTCTCTCTTTAAGAATTTAACTATTCCTTAAAGTTTGAGAAGTTTTATGTTCGCCTTGAAAGCACCTGGCAGGACTGTGCCAAAAGCTGCACAGATGTACAGATGGACTGGAGTCCCTTCTCTTACAATTTCCAATTGGTTATAAGCTCAGATGCCTCTTCTTTAATAAGTTATAAAGAAAAATAAAAAAGAAGATTAACAAGGAGGAAGAAAGAATCAGAGGAAAAGTTTAAGCAATTAAAAGTATATTTTGTCATGTGATTTCCCAGACTTTCCATATTACACAATTTAGTGTTTCTGTAATCTGGAAAATATGTTGAAACTATTTAAGGTTAGAAAATCAGCTATGCCCAAGAAAAATTCAGTAACTAGGATATGGAGGAATTTGCATCAAAACCAATCTGTGGCTGCTTCCATCTGTCAAGATCTACACTGTCATGACATTGCTCTGCCCTATGCATAGTGCTTGTGCAATAGGAAATTGCTTTCTCCCTGTTTTCACTTAGGATAATCCTTGAAATAGAAGAACCTGCTTCCAACCATAACGGAGGAGAGCTGCTCTTTGGAGATGATGAGTATCTCTACATCTTCACTGGAGATGGAGGCATGGCTGGGGATCCTTTTGGCACCTTTGGAAATGCCCAGAACAAGTAAGAGTGTATTGGAATAATACCAATATAGCTGGACAGGACGTGCCTAAGCTTGTCTGGCCCTTGGTGCTGAACGCAATGGCAGCAACTGTGGTGTTTTCACCCCAGAGACACTTTGGGCTGGCTGGGTGCTGCAGCTGGGCACGTGGAGGCAAGTCCAGGCATGCAGGAGCTCCAATGGCTGCAGATGGAGCTTCCCCCCATAACAGGGTCTGCTCCTTGGGTTTACCTCTGGCAGAGAAGCTTTAAGGCGATGGTGAAGGAGAGGAGTCAGTTCTGATAGAGGGTTTTGGTCCAGAACTTTATTCCTGGCCCACAGGCCTCTGAATCCAGCAACAGCTCTGACAGAACTCCCCAAACCTTGTGGTTGCTGGCTCTTTTAACCCCGGGGAGAGGGGGAGGGAAGGGGTAGGGATCCCACCAACCGGGTACATAGAAGGAGGTCTTAAGGGACAAAGGACACCTGGGTGGCCCAATGCCCCCCTCCCCAGGGATAGAGGGCATCCTTTGAATCTACCAATCACTCTGGAATTCCAGGATTGACAGACAGTGCTGGGAGGGGAAAGGAGAGGTGACTGACACACCTGGGATGGAATTATCCAGGGAGGGACCCGAGGTTCTGAGGTAAACCCTGAAATCACAACACAACAGAGTGGATCCATCCCTATGGCAGCTCCAGGGTGTGGGAAATCAATGCCGTGAAACCCTAGACTTTCCAACCCTACCCTCCCCCCCAAGCTCTTTTTGCCAAGTTTTTTTAATAAATGATCAATCGTGAGCCAAATTATCAAAATTTTCGAAAAGATTTATTAATCTATCTGCGCAACCGAATTTCAGTCTCCGAGACCACCACAGCCTAAGAGACAGCATCGAGCCCGGGGTCGGTGCTGGGTGAACCTGGACCTGACCTCTACCGCGTCAGAGTCCCCCCTCATTCACGAATGCCACTTCTTGCAGGGAGGTTTTGTACAGTTTATTGTGCCTGAAGCAAAGGTATCCAAATTTCTTTTGTAACTCTTCACATTCATCGCTGTTCTTTTCGATGTGCAGAGCTGGACAAAGGTTGGGTCCAGGTGTGCACTCAGCGTTGATGGGCTCCAGGGGAAGCCGTGTATTCAGGTGTATCAGGGTGGCACCCTGACTATCTTGATTGATGCAGTCGGCAAGGCAATAATCGCTCTTAGGTGGTTCCCAACAACTCGAGATACCGGTGATGATTGCCCTGGAAGCTTCTATTCTTACATTATAGCATTGATTGTTATCTTAGCTTGTGTCCAGGAATTCGTTGTAATCTGAATAGACAGCTGCTCTCGGGCCGAGGTGGTCAGAGACATATGTTTGGATTTTTACAAATCTTTTATACCATACATTAATACATGAATTATCCCTACCATATATGACATTTTCATTTACCGTTTTCACTTCTTCTCGCAATACAGATCAGCCCTGCTGGGCAAAGTGCTGCGGATCGATGTGAACAACAACGACCGCGGGCCCCTGTACCGAATTCCCCCCGACAACCCCTTCGTCAGCGACCCCGCGGCGCGCCCCGAGGTCTACGCCTACGGCGTGAGGAACATGTGGCGCTGCTCCTTCGACAGGGGGGACCCTCGCACCAAGGAAGGGAAGGGGAGGCTTTTCTGTGGAGATGTGGGGCAGAATAAATATGAAGAAGTCGACATCGTGGAGAAAGGGAAAAATTACGGCTGGAGGGCGAGGGAAGGGTTCAGCTGTTACGATAAGAAGCTTTGCACCAATTCTTCCTTGGGTAAATAGATGCGCTCTCGTTTTTGCGGTATTCACATTCTCTGAACAGAGAGAGGCATAATTCTCTCTCCCAGGATTTTTCCTGGGGAAAGCAGTGAGAAGCACAGAGCGAGAAGAGAAAACAATTCTTATCTCTGCTTGCTGCTCCTGTTGTTTGGCACGTGTACAATGTGTTATGGAGATTGTTTACCGAGAGGGATTTGTTAATTGGACACCAGTGATGATTGGTTTTGATTGGCCAATTGAGTCAAAATTGTGTCGTGACTGTCTGGAGACAGTCATGGGTTTTTCTTTAATATCTCTTTTGTATAGTTATAATATAGTATTAGTGTAATACAATATAGCTTAATAAAGCATTTGTTCAGCCTTCTGAAATCATAGAGTCAGAGCACATTATATACATTGGGGTCACCCTGAATCAATACATTTTTTAATTCCTGTCTTCAAAGCCTGGCTGCTTGGTGGCAAACACACCTTTTTGAGGTATAAACCTCTGCTGTCCCTCTAGAAGGGAACTGGCTTGGGCATAAATACTGAAAGTACAAATGTTACTGTTTCTGAGTTAGGAGGAAAGTGAAACATGCTAGCTGTTGTTTTTCTAGGTGATTGGTGTTGTTAGTGAAATTACTTTGTGATTCTGTGGTTTAGAAGGACAATTTCATCTTTGCCACATAAAATAAGCTTTTGTGCAGAAGCAAGAAAAATTTGGAGGAATTGTATTTTTCTCCATAACTTACCTTTATTTTAAAAAAAACAGAGAAAAACATTGACTGATCAACCCTTATGCATACTGCCTGCTCTGCAGGGAACTGAATGTATGGTGTATTTTCAATTCTTTTAGCTGTGCCACAAAGGAAAACCTCATTTTATTTTAATTTCTTTAAACTGTTCAAAACTGGATTGAGGGTGTTTCCTGGCTGGCTAAATTCCAGTGAACATGTGAAGTCAGAACATATTGAATTGCAAGGGCTGATGTGGACCATGTCTTGTGCTGGAACATCTTCTCAGAGGTTCAGGGGGGCAGTGGAGTGGGCTGACACTGATTTACATTAGCTGAGATTCTGATTCCTTTCTCTTCCATGTGCTATGTGTTGTTGTTTAATTTTCTTCCTAATATTAACTCAGTTTAAATTCCTTCCTTTTATTAGCTTTGATATAAGTACAAGCGATTAACTATTTTTTTATAAAAATGTCAAGAGCAGGGAGCAGATTTTTTGCGCTCCCTTTGCTGGAGCAGTTGTCAGAGAGCTCATTTATTGCTCTCCTGTGTGACAATACCCACATGAGCATTCATGGCAGACACTTTACTGAGGTCCCCAGGGATTCAGAGCAATTTTTGATGACTTTAGAGACCCTTTGTTAGAACAGTGAAATGTCACAGCCCCTTTAGAATGATAAGTACAGCTGAAGTGTGGAAAACACCTGCTTTAGAGGAAATTCCCCTGGTGCAAATTCCTTGCTGGCAGAGCTGCTGGGTTTGCTACCTGCAGCATCTGCTACATGGGCAGGGAGAAAGGCTGTGAGGATGAGGAGGAAAGGGTACCATGAGATACCTGTGAGCCAGGAGTTTCAAATGAAAGGGGAGGAAGCATCTAATGGAGACCCTCAAAATCAGGACATCTCTCTCCATTTTACATTTGTCTTATGTTTTAACTTATATTTCCCAATGAATATGCCAGTACTACATCATTCATGCCTCTGCCATCCCATAAATATTTGATGGCCCTTTCAAGTTGCTTCTCCATCTCAGAGGAACAGAAGCTATTTGTGCTGACATCTGACATATCTTTTCATCAGTGCCTGCAGTCTGGAGTCACCCATCTCTTTTTTTCCTTTCACCACCTAGACAAAGCTGCATTGGGCAAACAGTTCCTGCATGGGTGCAGTGGCTCTAGGAGTGACCTGTGAATTTGCAGCTAAACCAGACAAGCTCTGTAGAAATGTGCCAGAAGTGGCACTAACAGAGATGGATTGTAGTGGGAGGAGAAGGGCTCAGGAGAATGCTGAAGTGTCTTGGTGAGGGGCAGGGCAATCAAATGTGATTCTGAAAAGGTGAAAATCAAACTAAATACAACTCCATTGGCAATTCATTTAAATAGAAGATGCACCAGGGAACCTGATTGTACTCTGCTAGTCTCAGAACAATCTAGATAAAGAGCTATTCTGCAGCATGTGCAAAATAAGTCACAGATCTTTTCTGCCTTACAGATGATGTGCTTCCAATTTATGCATATCCACACAAAATGGGGAAGTCTGTTACAGGAGGCTACGTCTATCGAGGTTGTGAGTCTCCAAACCTGAATGGCCTATACATATTTGGTGATTTTATGAGTGGGTAAGTAAACACTTAGGGCACTCACAAAGTTGTACCCCCAGCCAAAATACCCCCCAAAATGGCCTGATAGTCCCTCAACCCTCCCCTCTTGTTTTTTCATGGGCTTGTGTTGCCCTTGAAGGCAAGGGCTTGCAGTGTGTATCATACATTTGGTTAATATTAAACAATCTTTCACTCAGAGAAACTGCAGTTCCTATTGCAGCTAGTGTGGGTAGGAAGAATTAAATATCCATTCAGGTGTCCATGCTAGCATTCATAAATCATCTGGGCCAGGCTGTAGAAGTGTTCTTTTGCCTTGCAGACGCCTGATGTCTTTGAAGGAGGACCATGCTACTGGAGAGTGGCAGTACAGTGAAATCTGCATGGGGACAGGACAAACGTGCATGTTCCCTGGGCTTATCAATAACTACTACCAATACATCATCTCCTTTGCTGAAGATGAAGCAGGTAATCTTTTAACTTTGAGTCACACTGAATGGCATGTTTCAGAACAAAACACCAGAGAAGGGATCAGAGAGGGCAGCAGGTTGTGGAGAGGCACAGCACAAATCTTTAAAGTGCCAATTCCCAGCACCTCCCAAATACCAAACCAAAGTTACAATGCTAATTTTGAGGTCTGAGTGCCATGCAGTGCCTGCAGTGGGAGATGGAGAGTCAGTTGCCTTGGGACTGAGTCTGGTGTGCTGGACATGCTGCTGCCCTTCCCTCTGGAGAACAGGGAGCAGAGGGGGGCAAGGAGAATAAAACAAACTTGGAAAAGAAACCTCATTCCTCACAGTGCCATGCCAAGGGGAATGCAGGCCTGGGAGCCTGAGAAGCTGAGACCCAAGGGAGAGCAAGTCTATCCTCTTGTCTAGTCAAGAAGGCTGTGGGCATTATTAATGGGTACAGGGAAGCAGATGTCAAGAACAGCAATTATTTATCTGCTCACCTGGGCTGGGGTATTTGTACCTCTCAAGATGAAGCAGAACAAAACTCTGTGTTATGTCTTGCATGAGGCATCAGCAAAAGAGTCTTTAAGTCCATATTTTATTAGTGCCAGCTGGGATTTTGCTTTGCATAGGACTGAAGGATCTCAGTAGAGCTTTGCTGTGTTTTCATGACTGCAGACATTTTGATTTCTGGAGGGAGCTGCTGCTGTGATTTGAAGAGGAGGAAATAAAGAGTCCTGGGGTGCAAGCTGGTGGTGTCTGTTCACTGTTTGTACAAGCACTGCAGAATGTGCAGCTCATGCAGCCCCTGGCTGGGGGCAGGCAGAGGATGAGCCCCACAATGTGTGCTTCATGTGTGACCCAGCAGTGCAGGAGCTGTGCTCTGCCCTGCTCCAGGGAGGTCTTGGCTCGTGGTCACAAGCACCTGCTTTAGAATGCCCCAGCTTTTAAACATCTGTTTTTTCCTGCAGATTATGTCAAGTTTGGATGTTGCTCAAATCATATAAATGCAAATTTTTTCTTGTGAATGCAAATCCTCCAAGTTAAGTATTAGCTTGAAAGTTTGACTCTTTTTTTAGAGTTAAATTCAATTTTCTTTAATGGTTAATATTCATGGAATTTACAGCTATTTCACAGTGCTGTAGTGAGAAGGATATCTTAACCTACAATCAAATAACTTAGTTCAAATCAGCTTTGTGCCAAGTGCAATATCAAGCTGTTGATTGCAGCCCTTCCTCATGCACATGAGGATGACCTCCCTCATCCTGTGCTTGTCCACAGAGTCTGGACATAGCAGGGGTGAAATGCTGCCACCCTTTTGCCCTACACTGTGCCCTGCATAAGTATGGTAGAGCTGAGTGGAGATTTGGGCTGCAGTCTTTTTTCAAAGGCAGTTAATTGCCTTGTGTTTGCTTTATAGTAATGGAAAGAAATCTGTTGATAACAGTGTGGTGAGGTTGCTTTATCTGCTGTGAACAGTCTTGTACCTTTTTTGTGTACTAGGAATCTTATGTTTTACAAGTTTGCCACACAGTTTATTTTAACAGGGTTTTCTTCACAGAAGCACTGAAGTTTTGGAGTTGTTGCTCTGATGGATGTTAATCTACCTGCTGCAGTGGGTATGCAAATGTTGTGGGGAGATCTCTATTTATGGCTCATTGCAATTATAAAGCCATCAGCCCCATCCCTGGCCAGCAGAACCTGTCAGAGACACCCCAGGCACTCTGTCTATGGGTCACATGTGTGTAGCCTGTGTGCTTCATGGCCTGAGCATCCAAACTCCTGCTGGTAACTTCCAGGAAAGAGGGGCAGGATGTAAAACACACATCACCACAAAACTCAGTGCCAGCTGTTTCCCATCCCCATTTGGACCAAGGCTGCCTCTGGCCTGTCATTAATGAAGCTGACCAGAAAAATGAAGCCACCAGCCAGGAGTAGCCAAGGGTTTCTGCCCTGGGATTATCCAGGAGCTCAGCCCAGGGCAGCACAGGACAGCAGGAAGGAGGATGGAGACTCAACCTCAGTTGCCACCAACTGCCTATACATTCCTTTGCTCACACTGATCTCTCTGTTCCTTCCCCTCTTTCCTCTGGATTACCCATAGAACACCCCAAAAAATCTCCCTTATCCACTAAGCAAGTCCACAGAGCCTTTTTTTCTATTTTCTCTCATTTTTTAAATATTGCAAGTATATTTTTTCTCTCTGATCCTTTTTGTTGCACTTCTCAAGCACTTGAGCTCTCAAAATAGTGCCAGAAGGACTGTTTGTCCCAGTCTCCCCTGCACAACAGGAGAAGGATAGAAATGCAGTTAAGAGAAAATAAGTCAAATAAAGGGTGATGGACATTGTTTGGTTGAAGGTTGAGCCCTGCACATGTCACCTGACAGAGCTGTGATGAATCAAATGCCTTTTGTCTGATATGTCTCACCCTGTGAGTCTGCTAGAGAAAGCAAAAGCAAAATCCTGTTCTCCTGTAATTCATCCCAAAGGAGCACTTCATCCAAATGAGCACAAGACAGTGAACTTTCTTAATTTCCTTTCCTTTCATTTCAACAAAAGTAATTCAGGGTTTACCTGTTTTACATTAGAGAAGTCAAAGGACACAGATCATAATGAGATGACAAGGAAGGTCTGGGCAGGTGAACCTGCAGTGGAAATTTGTCCAAATAGTAATTCATGACAATTTGTAAAAGCTGCCACTCACTAGGAGTATTTTATGCCAATGGACTGCAGATGAGCTCTCAGACCTGTGATGCAGAGTTAATGCCTTTGTGCTGTAAAGGACAGAAACTCCATGGACAGTTTTCATGGGTGTGTCTGTTTTTTTATCTTTATCAGGAGAATTGTACTTCCTATCTACTGGTGTACCAAGTGCCACAGCTCCCAATGGAGTGGTGTACAAAGTGGTGGACACCTCCAGGTATGAGATGTTCTTGTTGCAAGGCCTGGTGATGGTGCAGTGAGTCCTGGCATGGATGGTGTGGATGTGATGGTGTGATGTGATGAATCATGTTGGCTGACTAATTAACTCTTCTCCCATGCTGGGCTCTTCTGGGGAATTCAATCAAGGAACATCTGGAGCAACCCTTTGCAGGTCTGCTTTGCCACTGCAGTCGTGGGGGTCTACATGCCTGGTGCCAAACTTTCATGGGGCTTGTTGGTGTTATGTAGGTTGGGAGATTTCCTGAGTGCTAAAAAAGTATTTTATGGGTGGCTTGTCTTTCTTTGGCAAAGTTTCTCTAGATTTCTGCCCAAAAGAAGGCACTTCTTCTCAAGGTGTTTTTTCTGAGTTCCTCTCCATCCTTTTTTCATCTCCCACAAGAGCCCTGTTCCCCCAGCCCATGATAGCCAAAGCTGGATCAGCATGACCTGCAGTGCTTTCTTGGGCAAACCAGACATGAAAATCAAAAAGTAAAATTCTTCTTAATGTTTCAAAGAGCTATATGGATTGAACAGGAAAAAAGGACCATCATTACACCTCCTGGATTCCATCTGCCTGTATCTGAGACTGGGCAAGGCAGGGAATGGCTGTGTTTTATGGGAAGACTTACAGCTGTTTTTTCCATCTTCCTGTTTTTAAAGTGTTACTATTATTGGCTGAACACCAAGCTACTTTCAGCCAGAGTCACGGAGAGTGAAATTTTTTATAGCTTTTCTTTTTAATGGATTAAATTTATAGCTTTAGCTAACTGAGGATTTTGAACCAAGCCACTTGTCTAGTTTTATGTTTTATGAAACCAGTCCCCAAAATTAAAAAGCCCCCAGATCTGTAATGTGTTTCCTCCAACTCTCCTCTGTCAGGAGCATTTTCCATTATCTAATGCAACAGAAGAGTTCCTGTAAACTGTGTATGAAGAAGCTGCTATTACGCAACCTGTGCAGAAATAGAGAAAGCAGGAGTCAAACACCAGCCGTGAGTTTAACTTTTAAAAAAAGCTTCATTCATGTTCAGAGTACCAAAAAAAGTAATTGGAAAGTTCATAAAAGTAGGGAGCATCCTTGTATAGACAGTTGAGAGAGAAGCTCTCTGCCTTCCACAGAAATGCAAATGCAAACAATCCCAATTGCCCAGGAGTTGTACCCTCCAAATGCAAACATCATGCATTTTAGAACCAATTAAAAAACCTCTGAAGAAGTCTGAGGATTACCAAGATGGCTGTCATAGGAAAAAGTGGTGATGAGCTGGATGTGGCTTCCCAGAAGTGAGATACATCTCTGTGGCAAACAAATTGTGTCAAAATAAAGCACCGTACTAAGACAAAGCCTCTGAGGAGACACTCAGAATTCTTTTCTGAAACTAATGCATTTTTGGCTCGACACTTGTTTGGGCTTTCTGTATGAATAATAGTGTGTTATTTTGCTTCCGTGAAAACAGTCTGAAATCTTGCATACACATGACCTTTGTGTCAGATGTTCAACATATACTATCTAGTTTTGTAATTTTTATTTTCATTTTGATTAATCTCTTTCTGTCATGCTTGAACCTGCCAATGTTTTATTTCCTTAATGGCTTCAATAGTGTCAACTGAAAACACAGACAGAGGACTCCACTGCCTTGTGAATATTTGGACTTTCATCAATGGTGATCTGTGATTCTTTGGTTATGTTTTCTATTGTAAGAGATTAGTTGCATCATTTAAACAGACTTTTTTTTTTCCCAATAAGAATTATGTTCTTAGAAAAACAATGGGAAGCAAAGTGAGCAAAGTGTTGCAATGCCAGAGGAAAGGAATTAATTGTGCAGTGTATGTGTCCCTTTCTTTCAAGGACAGCACCACCAGGAAAATGCCGAGTTGAGCCATCGCCAGTGAAAGTCAAAAGCAAGCGCATCCCGTTTGTGCCAAAGGAGAGTGAGTGCAACTCTTGCTGTTTATTATTGGTTCAAGTTAGCTGGCAGTAGATACAAACTCCAGACTTGCACTATCTGTCCACATATGTGGAAACTACCCAGAACTTCACTCTTCAGGGTATCCTCAAAATTAAATCTTTCCAGGTGTTTTGGATCTGAGGAGTTGGTTCAAATAAGTCATACAGTATTTCCCCTTTCCTGGCCATGTGAAATTTCCTTTGTAGTTTCTGACCCTGTTCATTTTCCCTTTTTCATGCTACATTTTACACGTTTCATTACCACCAGCTTGGTTTCCCTGTAACTGTGCCTGTCCAGAGACCCTCTGCTCAATGGTGCTTTTCAGTGAGAAGTGATTTTTTGCAGTAGCTTCAGGTAGTGGAGAGGATACGATGGGTAAAGGGTTGGGAAGCAGCTCATTGAGCAAGATGAGAGCTGAGTCATTGTTAGTTGAAAGTGAGAAAATATGGGATGAGAAAATGCTCCCAAAAGAATCAGTGATCACACACTGAGGTGAACTTTTGGCTTACCCAAACCCTCCAGGGCCTTTTGGTTGCTTCATGCTGCATGAAGTATTGTACTGCTAAAGCTGGAATAGTCAGTGGAGCTGAATCTGCAGCAAGCCAAGTACTCTTTATGTGAGGTACAAAAACCTAAACACAATATTAGGATCTCAAAAGTAGACTAGGCAGTATCACTGTTCTTTTCCCCTGTGCTTTTAATTTACACATGTAGGTACCTAGGCAGCACCCCAACAAATTCCCTTCCAACTCAGTGTAGTCCATGAATTTTTATAGTCCATGAACAAAGCTAATGGTACTGCAGGAACTACAAAGTCAGGATACTTTAATTTTTAATTACATTAATCACGTTACATTGCTTTTGAGTCACTAACAGTTCCTACAGCTTTGGCTTCAGGGAATAATGAGGACACTCAGCACCTTGCAACACTGAGTCTTTAAGGTGGAACAAACTCTAAGGCTAATTATTGACTGCTGACATGCCTGAGCACTCAGTATCTTCAGAGATGTTCCCTTTTTTAGCTGTGCAGGCAGCTTTCAAATATTTGTAACTTGATTCATGTTCAACCATTTTTGTCTGTTTCTGCTTATGCATTATTCTCTACGCAAGTCCAAAGTTCAGGTTTTTAAACTATACATATAACTAAATCTTTTGGGATTGTTTACAAGGTAGCTTTTGTCATAAATTAAAACTTAGAAATGGTGGGAGAGATTCTACCTAGTGTGTCAAGAGCTACACTCTCTTTTTGGTGAAAAATAATCATGGCCATTTTGATTCAGAAGCATGCAAACAAGGATGTGTAGCTGTAAATATTTATTGTTTTGGTTAGTATTTAGTCTGTTATTTAGTTTTTTATTTTGGTTAGTATTTAGTCTGAATGCAACAGAATCACCAGGGCATGTGCCTTGTATTAGCTATGAGTGCATTTTTTGGAAGTGTATTTAATAAAGAGTTTAATAGAGAGTATTATATAATGACAATTTGATCCAGTGAGGTGAAAAGCACTCCCAGGTGACCATTAGCTGTCATGCAGTCCTACACAGTATTCAATCAGTCCCAGAGTTTTCAAGTGCTTTGCCAGACCAGGCTCCAGCAAATGAGCTGTGCACAGGTAAGGCCTTCAAATCTGTTTCTTGCCTTGAGAACCACAGCTTTCAAAGGAAGGAAATATTTTCATGTCATGAACACCATTCCTTTTTAAAGACCTTATTTGGAAAAACATGGACCCCTGTGAGGGTTTGTCTTTTGGGGACAATAGATACCAAGCACAAATAAGACAGTGATATTTTTCCTCCTCTCTGTACTACCAACAAAATGATGAATGAGGATGCATAAATCTGGGATATAATTCAAAGTCATGATGTCTTTGCAAATGTCTGTGACACTGTTCCAGCTCTGCTGAATGTTATTCCATGAAATTCTGAATTGCTTCCTTCTGGCAAACTAAAACTTATTTTTAAGCTAAAAATGAAACACATGTGAATAAGTAAATCCAGTAACACCTGGAAACTGTGACAGCAAAGAATTTTCATCTCTTCAGAGTTCAAGGCTCTTTTATTTTTTTTTTCTTTTTTTTCATAAGGAAGAACAAACCCAACCCCAAATCCTGTTTTATATGTTGTCCTGGCAACTCTGTTCCTCTTGCACATTCCAGTTGCCAGAGAGAATTGATTTTGAATGTTCCTGATTTCAGCTCCTCTGAATAAAGCATCTGGCCCAGTGGGGAGGCCACGCTCTCCTCTGGTAACAATCCAACCCCCAGTAATGAAGAGAAGAGCAGAAACAGAGCCTGTCTATAAAATGCTTTCAGTGGCTCTTCACCGGGATGTGGCGTAGAGCTCCTCTCCTGACTGTGAAGCTCCAGCACCGACCCTTTAAGGGCCAGGCTGACATTTGCCAAGAAACCTCTTGGAGCTTCCTTTTTGGGAGAGACTCGGTTGGCATTGAGCCCTGCAGTCCTCTCTGCTAGCTAACACCAGCCGACATTTTCACTGAGGAAATACCGGGTCGCTAAGAGTGTCGTTGCTTCCCAACAGGACCAAGTAGACAAATTCCAAGAAATTAGTTGCACAAGTCAAAAGGAGTTTGGTATAGTTGGTTTCAAGCATTGCCCAGAGAGTGACAGACACGGTTCTCTGCCTTTTCCCCAACAGAGTTTATTATGAAAACACCGCCACCACATCCCCGCCTGCCGACCACCACCGAGGCTCCGTGGGGAGGCGCCCCAGCCCCGCGGACCCCAGCGCCGCCACGGACCCGACCCGGGCTGGGCAGCCCAGCAGCTCCCAGCGGCAGAGCCCCCGGGCCGGGCAAGGGCCCGGAGGAGGAGAAGGAGCAGCGCAGGAAGAAGAAGAAGAAGAAGAAGCAGGGCCCCGGCAATGGCGCGGTGCGGCTGATGCGGCAGGGCCGGCGCGGGCGCGGCCGGGGCAGGCTGGAGGTGTTCATCGACGGCGAGTGGGGCACGGTGTGCGACGATGGCTGGAGCCTGCCCGCCGCCGCCGTGGTGTGCCGCCAGCTCGGCTTCCCCCGCGCCCTGCGGGCCGCCAAGAAGGCGGAGTTCGGGGAAGGGAGCTCGCTCCGCATCCTCCTGGATGATGTGCAGTGCTCCGGGCAGGAGAGGACGCTGCTGGAGTGCTCCCACGCCGGGGTGGGCACGCACAACTGCAAGCACGAGGAGGATGCTGGCGTGGTGTGCAGCCGGGAGGAGGCGACAGACTGGTGACAACGGCCAGCTGAGGGACTTGGAGACATCCCTCCCTCCCTTGCCCAACCCTCCAAACCAGCTGCAGTATTGAGGAGGGTGTGCCCTGCCATGGGGATGCTGTATCTGTTCTAAGTAATTTTATGTTTTTTTCATGTTCGTCCCCATGCATTTGCCTCAGAGGAAAAAAAAAAGAAAAATGAAGCACTGAATTATGTTGGGGGCAGGGGCTGCATTTCTTTGGGGTTTTTTGTAGGAAGAAACCCCCAAGCATCAGCCTTTACAGAAGAGAATGCATCTCAGAAAAGAGATGCGTCCTGTTGCCCTTTCCCATTTCAAAATACAGCATTCTTCAGCTGTGCATCACAATGTTTTGCCAAAAAATAAGTTCCCAAATGACTGTGTTTCACTCTTATGGAAGCATTTGCATTGTTTGCCTTGCTTTGCCACCTGCAGCTCTAAGCTGAGGTTTCTAAGGACGTGCCTTTCTAAATCTGTGCCTTTCTTTGCAAATTACAAAAGTATGTATATTTTTTTAACCTTCCACTCACTAGTTTAAAGGAAAATTATTTTTCTGTAATGCTTTTTATTGGTATAAACCTATTGGTCATCAAGGATAAGCAAAATCAGGTGGTTTAGAAGAAACCATAGTGTACTGCATGGAGAATATTTCTGCAGTTTATATTAGCCTAAGTGAAAAGAGCCCCTTTTACATGAACAGGATTGAAAATCTGTCCCTTTTTAGATGCACAAAATCATTATCCAGTTCTGAAGATATTTTTGTACATGTTTTTCTACTTTCCCAAACTTTATAACATGTACATGTTTTTCCATTCAGTTTTTCACAGGTGTGAATGACTAGACAAGAGGTAATGCACTGGGGCAATAATCCAGTAATATTTACCCCTTTTTAGAGGATATTAAAAAAAAAGCAAACAAAAGCAACCCTATTTTGTCTGAAATGTGTTTTTCACCTGAGTGGCAATGGGAGACACATGTCTTATTAAAGAATTTGGCCTGGTTATTTGTTTTCCCTGCTGTAATCAGGATAGGTTTTGTCCTGCTGCTTACACAAGAACATGAGAAAGACAAAAAGATAAAAAAAATCTAAACCTCCTCAAATGTAAAATGACCAGTGTGTCTAGAAAAGTTCACAAGCAAAATCTTGTATCTAGAGACCTTACTGTGGATATTTAATTTAACCCAATTTCAAGTTGACAGTATCTTCTTAAGCCTAAAACATATATAGGGTAAATTATTCTGTTTTAAATATTTTTCCTGAATTTATCTTTCTGATAAATTCCCATTAAATTGTTTTTGGTATTAAAGAACACCTTCAACATGCAAAACCAGATGATTAAAAAAAAGTATTTCCCCTTACTTCTTATGAAGTATAAAGGAGGAACAGATGCATAAAGTGCCTTTTGAGAAGTACTACTCTCATTTCATTTGAAAACCTACAAATGCCATCACGCACCAGACTGTTATCAGGCCTTTCCCTTTGCAGTGAAGTTGTAAACTTATTTGTTTCAAGTGCAGAAATTCACTTCAAAGTGTTCAGGGAACAGAAGAGTCCTTTGTAAACTTTGTAAATTCTTCTGTTAAAAGAGTTGGAACCTACTGAGCTGGTGGAACTAGAGGGCTGGAAGAAAATGGAAGGTGAAGATACAATTATTTTTTTTCCAAATTCCTATTCCACTTCTTTTGGCTCCTTAGCCAAATTTCAGCTCCCTCTGTCTGAGACATTCTAAAGAGAACCTTGGTCATAGTTATACTTGAAAACTTCTAGGTAGAAAAAAAGAACCGCACAATACAAGTTACCCTAAAGGAATTGAGGTGATTCCAGGATGTCTGCCACAGACAAATTAGGCAGGAATTTCACCAGCATTTCCTAACTATTAAGTATTCTTTTTCTAATTTAACTGTTAGTTACCCTGCACCTGCTTTAGTCCATTTGAACATCCTGAGAAGAAGCAGAGGCCAAGTACATCTTGGACATTGCTGGTGGGGATTTCCAGCACCCCTGGCTGGCAGGCAGGGTGACACACAGGCTCTAGTGGCAGCCAGGGGCACAGGGGAGCCAGCTCTGGGTGGGAGCAGCTGTGCCTGGCAGTGCTGGCACAGAGCCCTGCACCCCGTGTTTGCTGGTGAGGTGTTTGTGATGCTGCTACATGGGTGCTGCCAGCTCCACAGGAAATATTTATTAGCAGAGAAAGAGACAAGACTTGTTAAGTAAAGGGTTTTTTTCCCTCTTATTCCTTCTCCCAGCCTGCACTGAGTGGGGAAGGTGTTCAAATAGGATCTAGCCAGCTCAGCAGACGTGGCTGTGTGTGCATGTCTGTGCCTGCCAGCTCAGTGCACTGCTATGACCTGGCAAAGTATTTCTGACCATTGTGGTCCCTTCCAAGCTTAAAATATATCTGTTCTAACTCCTGGTATCTGTCAGTCTAGTTCACTGGTACTTAAATGATGAGCCTGTACTATTTAAAGCACACAAGTATACATGCATTTAAATACCTGCTATCTCATCTGTTGTTTAATAGGATTCTTAGTGATATCATTTTTAAATAGCAGGATGTCACACCAAGTAAGCATTAGATAAACCAATAAGCCCTGCTGCTACACTTGAACATGACAGTATACCTCCTGGATGCTAATTCAGGATAAATCTTAAACTAGCCCACAGTGCAACCAGACTTCCTCATGTACTTCCTTATGTGGCAGTCCCAAAGTTTTGTCTAGTAGCAATATCATTTATTGCCTTGACTCCTGATTCAACTCTGTGACTGAAACTAGAGCACCTGCATTTTTCCTTACATAGCTTTCCTTAAGTTAGCACAGCTGCATCACATAGAGGACCCACCATATCTCTAAGGGAACAATGTAAACTCAACCTTTCCATGTCTTTTTCTCTACCTCCAAGGCAGAGTAGCTCTGCCCAGAACTCAGGATTTTTCACTTACATCCTTGTGGTGCCCAGCATCCAGCCTGAGCACTCACTGCCACGCTGTGTTGCAGTCTGCAGTATTGACATTATCTTCATTTGAACTTACTACGCTCTTTCCAAGAAATCCAATAGATAAATCTTCCCAACCTATTGAGGAATAATCTTTAGAGCTTGCTGCTCAAGCAGTGGAGGGATAGTGAAATAGGTAGGGTGTTGTATCAGGGACTCTCACTCAAATACTGGCAAAACTCTCCTGGAGCTGAGCCCTAGCTGGAGAATGCCATGAAGATATCCTCCATGTCAGGGGAGTTTTGGCTCTGCCCAGGTCAGGCTGCAGGGTATGAACAGCGTGAGGCACATGTATCACATTAAATAAGCAAAGAGAAACCCATTGACATTGAAATTGTACTGAAGACATGGCTCAAGTTCAGAAAGCTCAGTGGTGGCACTGTGGGTGGCACTGGCACAGGGTGCAAAGGTGAGCCTGGGGCCCCAGCTTCACGTGCTGCCATCGTGCTGCCATCGTGCTGCCATCATGCTGCCATCGTGTTTGTCTTGCCTTTATCTCCCCTATCAGCCTCTCACCAGCTAGACCTTTGTGTTGGGCTTTATGATGGCCAAGGGGGAACAGCAGCTCCTGAATGCCTGCCCTGCCCCAGGGCCCAAAGCCAGCAAACCACTCCCAGGGCTGTGCCAGCTCAGCCTGCCTGTTTCACAAGTTAGCATTGATGCAGCTGTGGGGGGACAGTCCCCAGCACAAACCCATCCCTCTGTAGGAGAGCTCAGCCTCTTGCTGTTTGGGTGTGGTCAACATAGAAATTCAGAAGCACAGAGGACAAAAACAGTCATAAGTATCAATATCCAAGTCTGATTTTGTATTGGAAACATGCCAGTAAGTCCTCTCTGAAGGTCAGCTTGGCTTGTGAGATGCATTGGCCCCCTTAGATACTTTCAGACATAAAATCATATTTTTCTCTATGAAAAGAGATGTAAACATCTTTTGATAACTACTAACTGTATTCCAAATGTAAGCTTTAAGAAAACAGGTTTTTTTCCTCTGTAAAGCAACAAAACATGGAGCCTATTTGATGTGTGTTCATACCTTGCTGCCTCGTACACAACTTTCCCAAGGCTCTCATGTCTGGGGCACAGGTGCAGATATAGAGCTGCCTCGAGCAATGTTTCAACATTGTCAGAAAAGCAGCTATGATGGAAATGGCAATCATTCCTTTGCAATAATGTGGTAAATAGGGATGCTATTTTAACCAAAAAAAAAAAAAAAGCTGTAATGTTCAGTCAGTTGTACAAGTATCACCTCAAGTAGTTTGTTCCTCAGGGGCATTAGCTGTTGGCAATCACTAAATGCTTATACTGTTCCTGTTAGTAATAACATCTTGCCAGTCACTTGTCCACTCCATGCTGGAAATTTTTATTGACTAAGAATGATCAGGACCTCAGTATATAAGGGCTGGGGGACAACTGACTCAGGGTGAAAATCACTGCAAAGGTCTGTATTTGGCAATGCTGGGTAAGTAACACCTAACCCACTGCAGGTTTTGTTTTGACTCCTATACCCAGCTATATCAACCTGTGGCTAGAGGTCTGATTTTAGATCAGCTAATTTATCATTATTATCATTACTAACTTGTTATTAGAGTTTTCCTGTCCACATCTGCCGTGGTAAATTCTGAGTGACCAGGACGCCCAGCTCTCTGGCTATTTGTGTGCTGCTGAAGGCATTTCCCAGCACAAGAGCTGCCTATGCTCTGCCTTCTCCTTGCTGTCCTCACAACTTAAACCACGCTGCACCTTCAGAGAGAGAACAGAATGTTTTCAAACCTAGACAGCCATGCAACGCCAAGCAAAAGAGAGCAGGAGTTCGGACCAACCCTATGTCTCACCAGCTTTTCAAATTCGCCTCGGAACTTCACCTGTTAACAGTTCCCAGTTCTCTGCTCTTGTGGTCGGCTCCGAGATCTCTCTCGCTCCTCGCCTTTTCCCGGGAATGTGCAGGTTGGCAGAATGTCCACGCGGTGGCAGTTCAGTCCCCAGCAGCAAGGGGACACGGGGGAAA